GGGGGGGGGGGGGGGAAGGAACAAGAGACACTACAAACAAAAAAAGAAACAAAAAAGAGGGAGAATAGGGGAGTGGAAGAGTAGCAACGCCGGAACACAAAAAGAGGTCAGAGCGCTCTACGAGGATGCGGCCCTCTGCAGCGCCTCCCGTAGTCGATCCAATAAATTACGCGAGGATTCCTCCACCATGCACAACACCACTTCACGCACAAAAGCGTTTGCCTCCGCCACGGTGACGCGACGCATGTTCATCCATCGTTCCACGTGTTCCTCCACAAGAGTTGAGATCGTTCCCACGTCACCCGCAGCGTCGCTGCCACCGCAGTCTTCCACACACGCCACGACACGCTGCACGACGTGGTCTCGCAGTTCCTTCGCTGTCGGAAGTTGAATCTCAAGGTGGAGATCAAGACGACCAGGACGACCAATGGCCGGATCAAGTGCAGAAAAACACGGCGCAGACGCAACGACAAAAACAACATCCCCATCGTTGGTGCTATCGCTGATGCCATCCATCTCTGTGAGCAGCGTGCTCAGCGTGCGATCGGCCGTGTTCGACACCTCACTTGTTTGCCGTCCGCGCGGAGGTGCCAGGCTGTCAATATTGTCGAGAAACAGTGCGGTGGGCGACATAGCTCTCGCGTTGGAAAAAAGAGCGGCAATGTTTTTCTCCGTGCGCCCCACCTCCTTCTCAATAAGTGAAAGACCATCAACAAACATCACATGCACCCCGCGCGCAACCTCGGTTTGCAGTCGACTCGCTAGTGCTTTCAACAGCGCTGTCTTCCCGCTTCCTGACGGACCGCACACAACAACGCCTTTCGGAGCCCTCACCCCACAGCAGCGCAGCAGTTGCAAGTGAAGCAGCGGCCAAACGACAAACTCCTCGAGATCACGCACAACGCCATTCATCGCAATAAGTCCGCAATAAGCATCAAGTCGCTCTACCACCTCGTGATGTTCTTCGACGTGTGACTGCTTCAATCCGCATGACGCCTCGCGCTCCAACATCTGCGGAAGCATATCCCCCTCTTGCAACGCCGCCAGCTGCCCAGCCGTGTGCCCCGCAAGCAATTCGGCCAATTTCCTCCGCACGTCTTGTGAATAAACAGACGAACCGCTATGCATTTCAATGCAACTTAGTCGTTCCTGCAACGACGGGTGTGTGACGTGAACAACTCGTGAGGAAAGGCGCGTTAAAAGTGCACTGGGGAGGGACGTGGTGGTGGTGGCTGTGGCAAGCACCACGGCGTGAAACTGAGTCTGTGCCGTTAGTGTCGGTTCGTTCAGTTCCTCAAGCACAGCGCACAGCTGGTGTGACACGAGCGAAACCAAAAAATTAGCGTCTGCCCACAGCAAATCAACAGCATCAAGTGTCAATAGCAGAAGGACGGCATGGGCACCGTTTGACGACTCCACAGGTGGAACGGCAAACATGCAGCGGATCATCGTCAAAGCCTCCCGATCGCTCATCTGAAGCAGACGGGCAATATCAACATCACGGCGCTCCAAAAAGTGTTGAACGCCCTGCACATCAACAACAGACGGAAACTGCTGGGCAACGCGCCGCATCGTGTAGGTCTTTCCGACACCATGCTCGCCAGTAAAAAGGACGGAGCACACACCCGGTTTCCGTGCCCGCTGCAGATAGTGGAGAATGTGAAGCACAGCCGCTGCGGCGTGCCTCTCGCCAAGAGTGTGGCCTGCTTCCGCTAAGGGACGCAGCACAACACCCGTTTCCACAGCCGCCGCTTCGACACGCACACGGTCCGCCTCCGCAAAAATCTGCAGCGAAGCTCCAGAAGCAAGCGCTTGCTCACTGAGCGTCGCTTGCACAGCCAGAGTGACCTCCACACCGTCGAACGGGTTATAAACCCGCACAAAAGATCCTTCAAGGATGCCGGAGAACATGACGCTCCTGCCGACACGTGAGAGGGCCACCACGCGATCCGCGGCTCCAACAGCAACACCAGCATTTGTAATGGCGGAAAAGAATGTGCGGCATGCGTCAAGCGGGTGACGGTGAAGCTCATCAGCCGGGGGCCACCAAGTCAGCGGCGCAGCCACAACCAGCAGCCCCGTCTCACCGCGCATGAACACAACCCAACCCAATCCACTCACCACCTCAGTTCCCTTCTTTTCCTGTAACAACAACAACAACAAAAAGAAAAAAAAAAATGAATGAAAGGTGAATCTGCGCAAATTGGATGATCTCCGACCTCCAAAAACCAAAAACAGGAATGAAAAAAGAATAGCATGTTCACCAGCCACGGAATCAGCCGCAAAGAACACTCTCTGTGGCAAGTTACGTCGGCGACGCTTGCAAGACATTCTCCGCCGCGCGTTGCATGTACACCGACTACTCGTCCTGCTCCATCGCCATATAAGTCACTCAATCAGTCGCACCGTTGCGCTGCAAAAAGCAAACCGCTTCTCAAACAATCAACATTTTCCAAAGTGAAATCATGCCGCCGTTATTCCACCACCTCTCTCACTCTCGGAGGATAAGGTAGGTATATAAAAAAAAAAGCGTTATTCAATTAGACAGGGGCGTGAGGCTCGCGAAGGGAGGCACAGTAACCGCCAGGGCTTCCAGTTACCGGTCCCCAGGTGCTCAAAGGGATTAGACGTTACCATTCCTGCCTGCATTCCACCTTCACAGCTTCCAAGAAAGAGGCAAATACAGGTAAGAAAAAGGGCAGCAGTGTGTATGCGTATATAAAATATGTATACATGCATATTTATACGAAATATAAAGAAAACACGCAGAAAAAAAAAACAAAGAAAAGAAAAAGGGTAGTTTAAATTTGCCCTTGATCCACTCACACATATATGTGTATAAGCAAATGATTGCGCACGCACGATTGTCACTTTATGGGACAGAGAGAGTCATCAGGAACCCACAACCACAGAAGGACAGGCGCAGTCCATTGGTTGCATCCTGGCCCCACATCACTCATCGAAAGAGAAATAATTCCGCATAATAAGTTGAACAGAATCACAAGTTGTCAAGCTCACTGCCACGGCAAACACACCAAAGAGCACAGCGCCCATTAAAGGCACTGATATATGCTTACCCTTCCAAGGCTTGCGCCACTCACGGAACAAGAAGGACCACAAAAGCTTCAGTGCGGAGTTTCGTGTTCGTTCGTCTGCCAGCATCCCACGTTTCTTCACATTACCCCGAAGAAATTCCTCCCGCGCTTCCTTAACGCACGCCAAGTGCTTCCCTTGAAGTGCAACGGTGTGACGCAGCATCTCCCCAAAAGCCACCCAATTCCTAGTCGTTAAAACTTCCTTTGGGAGTCGTGTGAGTTGCTTGTACACGTTGGCCATGATCGTCAGATTGTCATCATCATCCTCGGCACCTGCGCGTGCCTCTCGGACGTACCCTATGATGCGTTCCCTCTCGTGTAGCAGCAAAGCGGCGGTAAAGAATATGACTGTGTGCTCATCCGCGTGGCCAATAAGAAAATCAAACAGACGGGCAACGACTTTCGTATCCTCACAAACGTGCGTATACCACGTGATAAGCCATCCCACAATGTAGTGCGACTCGGGAGCGACACCGCAGGACTCCAATGTGGTGGCAAGTTCCACGTCCTCTTCTGCCAGCACTGCATGAACAGCGTAGAGCATCGACTCGGACTGCCTCAGTTTCTTGTCACTGAAAGATTTCCATTGTACTCGAAGTAGACTCTCACAGACGGCAGCCAACACATTCATCGAAGCTCCCTCCATAACGTACATAACAAAGCCCATCAGCTCGTGTAACCCTTGATAATAGTGCCGCTCACTATTATTTAAAAGCACATGCTGCAATAGGTTCTTCAAAACATCACGCATGATTTCCCGCTTTGAATGGTCGCGATATAGCAACCAAAGTGATCTCTGCACATCCACCTGAATGACACGCAAGTCGCAGTTGTCTAAAGATTTCTGCAAGTCTACCGTTTTTTTACCACTTTCGACACATTCTTCCTTTTCAATGGCAGTTGTTCTCAGCCTTGGCGTGTCCACACTCGTTGCGCTGGATGGGCCTTGACTACTTCCCTCGGAGCGGCTCTCTTGGACACAAAACACGCGCATCGGCCTGTCGAGGCCCAGCACCACATGACGCCATACCGCGCGACGAACCGTATTGTTTTCTAGCCCCTCCTCCACGCACCGCCTTCGGCACTTGTCCAAATATGAGACCTCTTCCTGTGATCCGCGCAGGTCCTTCACGCGAGGGAGCCTTTGTGGCCCCGGGCTGGTTTGCTCTTCCTGGCAGCAGTAAAGCGGTTCCATGACTCCGACCCCAATTTCCGCCAAAAAAATACGTCTGTCCACCTACTCGGGTATATTGCCCAATTGGACACACCTCTTGCAAACTCCGGAAAGAGAAGCTCTTGAAGACGAACAAGAGAAAGAAGGAAAGAAGGAAACATGAACCCTTACCCACCCACATCCCGCAATAGTTGGTTCTGACAGCCACAGACGTTCAAGCCCAACAACGGTCATAATAATAATAATAATAATAATAATAATAATAATAATAATAGTAATAATAAAGACACAGAATAATAAACAGTAAAATGGCATCAAAATGGAAGATGACAAAGTAAAAATAAAACGCCAATAAAAAGACAAATAAAAGTCTAATTAGAAAAAATGGCGTCAAAAAAGGATCATTCATACTTATCTCATCTTACTTCCTCCTCTCCTCTTTCTCCAGAAGTCTCATTCATTGTAGGGCTTTGCCACCATTCCAGTGGGGGGTTCCGTCTTCACCTCTCTTTTTCCCACGTCCTCCCAATTTGTTGACAGAACTGTCCCGTTGCTCTCCAAGAACGACTTCATCATTGCACGGCGTTGCTCATCGGTGCCGTTCCTGTATATCTGCTGGAAGAGCGCATTCAGCGCCTGATCCCCCTCCGGCTTCACGTCCTCGTCGTCAATCCTCACGGAGCTCCAGTCCTTCCCGCGGCTGTTCGGATACTTCAGTTGCTCTGCGGACGCCGGCAGGCTTGCTGTGGCGACCGGTGCTGGCGCGTCTAAATCCGGCACCGTATGGGCGCCATTGTCAACTGATTCCAGCGTCGGCCATTGCATTTCGCATGCCTTCTGAAACGACACCTCAACCTTCGTTGCTCGCACAGTTACCGTCGGTGCTTCACCGGCAAGCGGGGCGTAGAGACGGTCAATGTTGTATTGATACTCGCGCCCCGACGCGTCAAGACGGATGGTCACCGTTAACGACCGCGCACTCGTCTCTACCCGAACATCGTTTTCCTGACGCTCACGTACATAAAAACAAAAGTTTATACGGGCCGGGCATTGAAACCATTCGCAGCGCACGGTTCCCTCAAATGGCTTCGTTGCCACACTCATTGTTATGTCTGGTAACGAAAAAAAATAAAATAATCAGACGTGCTTAAAGCTTTATTGCACCCACGACAGACCCTTAGCGGCGTTTAGCCCAAAGCAAATAAAAGATAGGGAAAAGAAAAAAAAAAAAAAGAAGGCCAAGCGGCCGCAATTAAGTGCGCACGTCAGTCATTCTATCCACAGCTCAGCAAAGAAGGAATGCCACACGCCAGCAAGTAAAAAAAGTCAAATAAGAAAAAAAAATACAATATAAATTGTACAGTAAAAGAAAAACAAACAGCTGAGATCAGTAGCGCAAAAGAATCAGTTCTTGGAAAACTTCCTGCCCAGCTTGCCCGGTGCGGACTTGCTGACAACCTCCAGCACGTTGTAGCGGATCGTCTTGCTCAGCGGACGGCATTGGCCAACAATCACCTCGTCACCAGGCTTGGGGTCAAAACAGGGGCTGCAGTGCACCGTCAGGCTGCGGTGGCGCTTCTGGTAACGCTGGTACTTGCGGATAAAGTGCAGATAGTCGCGACGAATGACGATAGAGCGCTTCATCTTGGTGGAGTGCACAACACCGCGAAGAATGCGGCCGCGGATGGACACGTCGCTGGTGAAGGGACACTTGCGGTCAATGTACTTGCCGTTGATAGCCGACTTTGGAGTCTTGAAGCCCAGACCAATCTTCTTGGAGTAGCGGATGTGGCCGCTCATGTTGACGTGCTTCTTGTTTGGGTTGTGGCTGTTCTCATTGACCGCCGTCTGACGCTGGTAGGCCTTCTCATGCTGCAGCGTCAGGTCGACGGAGTGCACGCGGGCGTACTGTTCCGGGGCTGTCATTGTGGAGATGACTACTGAGCTCTACGGATCAAGAAGGAAAAAAGAAAAAGAAAAATCAACAAACACACACACACACACACACACAAATTCAGAGAAAAGAAACTGAGTTAAAAGAAGAATAAAAATACATGCACTCTCAACTACTCATGCGTGCATAGAAATACTTGCATAAATAAACGGAAGTCCCAAAAACAGACCATCAAAGAATTTCGTGCAAGCACAAGTTATACAAATGCACAAAAGTCTTGGGGTTTCCAACCACGGTGAGAACTATGTGCGTGCATTTGTCTGTGTGTGATGTGTGATAATCTTTCGGGGTCTTACAGCTGGTGTGGGCCCTGTGTGCATCCAGGGATTTTAACGAAATCGTCAAACTCGTAGCGCTTCTTGTCGGGGCAGCACTTCCAGTATTTGTAGGTGTCCCAAAAAACCGGCCCCCCGGTGTGATGCCGACACGCTGTCGGATGATTCTCACTCACAACAAATTCTTTCTGGCAGCCGTAGTTACGACACCGCGCCTTGCCGTCCACAATCTCCTGCGGCGGTTGCCGCTGCGCTTCTGCCGCCCCTTCAAATTCCCTCGGCCCAGTAGTACGAGATGCCGCGGTGTTTTCATCTCTATGCGTCAACGCCTGAACCTGTTCTACCGATAAGGGTGTGTTGGAAGGAGGCGGGCTGACAAAAGACACCGGTCTCTTCTCCGTGCTGTGAGGGCCCACACAACACGGGGGGATGGCCTTAAAATCGTCCCAGTCGCGTGCGCGCTGCGTCGGGCAACACCGCCAATACTTCTCAATGTCGTGGAAGACAGGTGGTTCCGCATGGTAGTGGCATGCTGACTCGTGGTTTTCCGCTTGAAGAAAAAACTCTCCACATCCAAAGTTTGTGCACAGGACCGAGAATGGTTTCTGCTCATGCAGCACGGACTTCGCCAAATGCCGGATGTGCACGTCATTGAACTCATGGATGCGTGTTTCTACCACATCCGATGGCTTCAGCTCCACGTTGCCGCACCACAAACTGAGCTCCTCAGCCACAAGGGGGTTGTCAGGATGCTTCTTGTTGTAAGTCGAAGTTATGAAACAACGCAGCTTCTCGCACGGTCCGTTGAGCCAGCTTGCGGGAATGTCCATCTTCACCTTGAAAACCTCCGTCAGACTGTCGTTCACCACGCACCCATTCACATCCTTCCCTTCGTAGATAAAGTACACCTTCATGGCCAATGTTGTTGTCGCTTTTGCTAGCCTCAACGGGGCATCCAACGAAGTGAGGCAAAAACGTGTGTGTACATGTAAGAGAGAAGGAAAGATGCATATAATAATAATAATAAAGAAAGAAAGATGCAGGGGAAACACATGGTAACATGCAATTTATCTTCCCTTCAATTAAATAAAGGCTAACAAAAAAGGAAGCTTGGCACATCTAAGAAATAATGAAAGACGCCGAGTCATAAGCAACAATACCAAAAAAAAAAAAAAAAAAGGGAAGTCGTATGAAAAAAAAAAGAAATTTGTGCCCTCTTTTCCTTCTAGTTTTGCTTCTCCTGTTTTTCTAGTTCCGCGACGAGTGGGACGTTTGGACGTTTATGTAGGATGCGTACATAGGTGTATGGACAGGTTTACTGGAAGCACCCGTGGCCGTCTGCCGCTGTGATGCCGCGTCTCGGCGGCGGGGCATGTTTACCGTCGGTGTGTAGTGCGAGGCTGAGAGTTCCAACGGAGGTGTGGCCTCCATGTCGTGGCGCAGGGACATGTCGTGATGCGTCGGCACGGGAAGAGGAGGCCGAAGAATCGGTGGCATGGACTCCGATCGCATCACGTGCTGCAGCAACAGATTCGCTCTTTTGGCCTCCTCCGCGGCACGCTTCGCCTCCCTCACGCGCTCTCGCCTTTCCCACAGCCATACTTTGTATTCCGCGATTTCTGCCTCCGACATGATGCCGTACTTCGGCAGTGCGTTGCAAAGGTACACGGCGGTTCCAAAAAGGTACACAAAGTACCCGACGCTAGCAAACAAAAAAAGCGGCACGAGGCTGCAGAAGGGCAGGTACGCATCAGAAACAAGCCCGCAGTGAGTCAAGTATTCCTTTAGAAGCCCACCCGAGACGTTCGCCATGAGGCTCGTCCGAAGCACGAGAGAAATCATCACAATCTCGAAAGCTGAAAGAATGTCTTTTCGAAGTGTAAAGTTCCTCCAACTCACACTGAAAAAGTTGTGCTCGACTAACGATCGGTTCGCCACGCCCAGCAGCAGTGCAAAGCCGCAAAAAAAGATCGCCAAAAACATTTGAATGGCGTGGTCCGCAAAGATGTCGTCTGTATTGTTGATTGAGAGCACCAAATGAACGTTCCTAAAGGCGTAAAGATTTCTTTTTGTCACATCAAATCGGCAATTACGCGTCTTTAAAATCAGCGCAGGGACCAACTGAAGCGGTTTCCGCAGCCACACGGAGTTGACAAATGTGCGTTTGCTGGCAATCATAAAATTCGTCGTATAAATCAGGAAGCATACAATCTGCACAACGGTGGCGATATCGTACAGGAACATGATACGCTTCTCAGACTTCAGGCGGCCCCTATTGGGACGCCGCTGAAGATCGCTCACAACGTGCATGCGCTGCTGCTGCTGGCCGTCAGCTCCCTTTCAGCACGATGCAAAAAAGGCTACAACACACACACATAGACAAATGTAAATAGACACAGGCAGGGATGGATAATAAGAAGTAAAGAAAATCCGCATCAACTCGCCATCGCGGCAAGCGGGGCCGTTATTGTAGGCACCGTGGCAAACAAGACCCGTCCACATAAAAGGTAAGAAAAAAGAAAAACAAAAAACAAGCCAATACGATAGCGGCAAAAAGACGCCATACAAACACACATGTACGCACAACATTAAAGGAGCGGGAGTGCGAGAAAAAAAAACAAAAAAAAAAAGAAAAGAAAACCACCCGAGAAAAAACAAAAAGAAAAAAGGTCATTGCAAAAGTGAGCACAAAAGCCTCTGTAAGATTCGCATCCCTCTCTCGGCTTCACTTGTGAATAAAATCAGAATCAGGCATAATAATAATAATTTTAATAATAAATTTAGCCGCGATGCTTAAGGAGAAAAGACAAGACGTTTTTTGGCGTTTTTCTGCGCGTCCCCTCGCAAATTGACGAGCACGACGACCGCGGCGAAGGTGCCACTGTCCGGTATGTCGGCTCCGGCGACGACCCACGTTCATCGCTGACTGCCGTCTCAGTGAATAGCGGGCCACATGGGGTGCAGTCACCCACATGCCGCAGTACGCTTTGACCTCGCACGTACTTCAAGCAGTAGCCCTGCTGGGGTCCAACGATGCGGCACCATGTAGTGAAATCGGGCAAGCAGTCTTTGGTCTTAGCTGGGCTTTTCAAAGAGAGTCTACGCCCAACACTCGGCGAGAAGCTGCGCCGTCTGGACGTCGCTTTGGAACGCACCTCGTTGGACACAAAAACATGATCGCCAAAGTGAAAAGTTCCAACAATTTTTGCGTCCAGCCGCGGCTCTGCAAAAACACTTACGATGTAGTCCTTGTGACATGCAAAGAGACAAAGTGCACCACGAAGTGGTTTGCTGCGCCACGGGCATTTTAACAGAGCATCTGAGAAAAGTGGCAAGCTAATCAGTTGACGCACGGAAGGCCGTGAGAATGGCTGCTTTGCCAGCATTGACATAACGAGGTCACCCAGTTCCTGTGAGTAGCGTACCCGGGATTTTCCCGCTGGGTGCGGTGGCTCCAAATTCGTAATCGACACCCGCAGAGCGGCAATGTCATCGCCAACAAAAGGCTGAAAATTCGTCATCATGCGGTAGAACACAACACCGAGACTCCACACATCGCTCCCATAACCGCAAAGTCCCTCCGCGATGGTCTCTGGTGACATAAAGAGTGGTGTTCCAACAAACATGGAAACATCCACCGCATCATTAACGCTGAAGAACGCGCTGAGTCCAAAATCGGCCATCTTCAGCGTTGGTATCCGACTACTTCCGGCGCCCAGCAATATGTTTGTCAGCTTCAAATCACGGTGAATAACCCCCTTCGTGTGTATGTGCGCCAGAGCAAGTAAACATTGAAGGAAAAGGTAAAGCAACATCTCCTCACTAAGAGGGTAATGCTGCTGCAGATAAGCCTCCAGGTCGCCCCACGGGCAGTATTCCATCAGAAAGCATACAACGCCTTGACAATCCTCGTACCATGTGTCGAGGAGACGCACAATACCGTCATCGTTGAATCTTGACATGACTCGTGCCTCGGTCAAGGCAGCTTGCATTTGCTGCTGCGCCAAATTGCCCTTCTTCTCCTTTTCCTCCCTCTTCCGAAAGCGCTTCACCACAGCCCGTGCACCAATTAGATTACGATCCTCCACGAGAAGGACTTCCCCAAAGGAGCCACGGCCCAACGTCGTAAGGACTTTAAACTGTGTCCCCAAGAGTTGACGACGCGGTAATGTGTTCTTCTCCAGGAACTCAATAAAACCGGAAGCCCTCTCCATGAGGTTTAGAAAACTTACTTAATTATTTTTTTTCTTTCCCCCTTTTCCAGCGATAAAAAACAGCGATAAGAGTCACACAAGCAAAGGAGAAGAGCAGAAAAAAAGGGAGACATAGTATACCTGATCCAAAACAAACAGCAGCCACATTCATGTATAAAACATGTGTATTTGCGTATTTGCAACACGCAACGTCCTGAAAAAAAAAAAAAAAAATCAAGAAAACTTTCATCCATCAACAGTTCTCTCCAAGGAAAGATTTGTGCCGTACAGAACTGCAGCGCACCCCGTGAGAAATGGCAGCTTACAGGCACGCCTTGCTAATGCGAGAGCCTCTCCAACGGTCCGCGGAGGGAGTAAGGAGGCACCATCACCATCATTAACAGCTTCTCCTGCAAGCAATAATAGGAGTCGTTTTGTCAATCGATCAATTTCACCATCGGTCACATGCCACAGGCATCCCAGAAACAATGGACATCCCGCATGCAAAAAGGCGTAGGGCATACCGTACGAATCATATGAGGCGCCACCCTCCATATACGCGCTGCTGCAGCCCATAAGGAAGACAGCAGGGAACTCTTCTGGATCAGGAAGCCGTTCATACAGTTCTCCGCGGTGTAGGAAGCGTTCCCCTTTTCCGTGCCCGACATAAAAATAGGCTTTTGCACGATATGAGTAAAGCTCGTGCATAAGCTTGCCGCAGGGCACAGACTGCGTACTTGTTTTCCATCCAGTTCTCTGGCAGACAGGGAGAAGACGTTTTGATGTCTTTGGCATGTCACCAGCGGGGTCAATGACACAATACACTCCGCCGTCACAAATATCTAACGATTCTGCTTTACTAGTGGAAATGAATGTCGATGTTGGAACACGGGCAACATTTCCGGTCAACAGGACATCCATGCCCTCAAGTGGAAGAGCATGAAGTTCATTGTCCAATACAAGGTATAAAGAGGAACGCGAAAGAGAAAACAGATCCAAATGCCCCAATTCCGACTCACACGCAACTGAAATCGTTTTACACATCGTTGCTAGTGCGCAGAGGCACGCTCCACGCAAAACAGAAAGAAGACCAGTTGAAGGTGCAGCAATGCCATTTTTGAGAAGCTCGATTTCCAGCGCCCCAGAGAGATTGCACAATACCTCATCACACGAGGCACATTTGCCCTCCGCACTTCCGTGGGACGGACTAAATAACAATTTGCCTCCGGCGCAAAAGCGCGTCCCCAAGAAGGGAAGTCCAGCCAAAATCAGCGTCACGTCCAACATATGGTGCGCGGGTGCGCCAATGTCATGAATTAATTGGGCGGCCACCCGTTTCAGCTCTAAAAGACAGGAAGGGGGCAAATCACCGCACATCGCCACACGCCAGCATCCAAAACACTCGTCGGATTGCAGCTTCTCGACAACCTTTCGTATTGCGCTGTCGAACGCCTGTCGCTGCTCCCACCACTCAGCTCTCGCCTTTCTGCTTTGCCTCTCCACCTCACTGTTGCTGAATGCTTCTGTGGCGTCGGAAGGCGCCTCCATCTTCTCCTTCCCCAACAAAGAGACCTCCTTGTTGTAGAGGGTAGCTTCAAGGTGCCGCCGGTTCTGCGCCTCTATTTCACGCATCCTCGCCACCATTTCCAGCAAAGTCCTTCCAACTGGCAAAACCTTCTCCCACACCGTCATCCCCTCCACACCGCTGCTACGGCTGAGTTGCACACCCTCATGATCGCTTGTCAAAAGCACCTGCAGCTGGCAATGCGAATGAACATTTTCTCTCGTGTGAAAAGTGCCGCAAAATGCATCAAACACACGACGCCGCAAAGAAAATGTGCGTCCCGCAACTACTGATTTCGTTTGCCGATACGGCGGTGACATTCCGGAAGAGCGGGGCAGAAGCACTGGGAGTAGGACGCGGGTTACAGTCGTCCAGTATCCATCCGTATCATCATAGTGGCAGCCCTGTGCAAAAGCAGCAATCGCATGTAAAGTTACAAGAAGATTTGCCTGTGACGACATCCGCTCACAGATGCCCGCCACAAGAGGAATAAAACACCTTGCAAGTGGCAGATCTCCCTCATCCACTAGGCAGACGATCAGACGCGAGAGTCCATCAAGGACAAAAGAAGGAACAATTTTGTCTCGCAGTATTTGATGCCCAATCGTTCTGTCGCCACGGATCATCGTCAATCCCGCCGGCAGCTTATCTTCAACCGTCTGTGATGACGCAAGGATCCGCAGCACGTCTGTGGCACGCCATTCCTGAGCAATTTCATGCAGTAGCGGGCTCGGCACTCCGAAGTGTACATGCGTGGAAGCCCGCTCTCGTGGTGCACATTCTACACCTGCACCGTCGCTCCCCACCGCTCTGTTAATAAGGCACTCCAGTTCAGTCCCCCATAGCAGCAACGAGTCATCGCCCAAACTTGGTGCTGACCCCGTTCGAATAAGCTCTATTGCGATGTCAGCATAGCGATGCCGTTGCGCAATGGACACCACACTAGAAACTGAAGCAAAGGGAAAGCTGACGGAAGAGTTGCACCCTTCCCTTCCAGTAAATTGCTTCAAGAAACACGCCACACGAATCGGGGTAAAATCTTCTCGGGGGACGCAAAGATCTGTACTTGCAGCAGCGTCTCTGAGAAGAGTGGCTTCTTGGGATGACATTTGGAGTGGTCGTCGGAAATCTATTAGATAGCACGTCTTCTCCGTGGCAAAAGACTTCCTCAAAATACTCATAGCGCCGGAGGCACGACGTTGCACCTCCTCCTGAGATGCATGGAGAAGTGCGCACCCCTCAGCATACAAATTCATACAGAGACGGTCCCACTTTGCAACCACTTGGGGTCCATGAAGACCCACGCGCACGCATGCATTCCTACCGGCAGAGCAAACCAACCCCCACTCATCTCTCTCCCGCAACTCAGGAGTCTGGATTTCATCTTGAAGCTCTTCCAAGAGGTAAAAAGCCGCCGCTTTTGTGTTCTTGGAGCGATCAGCAAAGGCAAGTGTGTTGTACAGCCAACACTCAGCCAACTTATCAAGAGTTGATGCGTCCATTGCAAGCTCTGTAAGGATTTCGCCAGCAACGTGGGAAAATCGGAAAAACCCACGCGGGCAACTACTTGTCGATGCCGTAGACGCGAGTGCGCCGTGCCACACCATCAACGCGGTACAAACAACAGCTGGCACGTCCTGTCCAACACCCTCCGATTTAGCCGCGGTAAGCATGGGACGCACCAGAGCACATCCTTCCATCGCCTCCTTCTCATTCTGCAATGACGCCAACCGCCGAAACGGCTCAGGGCAGAGATCAAAAGCGGTCGTGATGAGTGGTAGCGCAAAGTCCCCGCGCCCCGCTTGCAGTGTGCAGCGAGCGGCGGAGGCAAGCAAACGCACAGTGCGCCACGCATCCCCAGATAACAATACATTCCTCGCCGCCGCGGCCGCCCTGGCGTCTGTGAGAACGGCGTGGAGCTCCGCCTCGTCCGAGAGCGGGCAATTCGCCTTCTGAATGAGAATCTCACCGACGGCCGCAGGCCGCATCGGTCGCGGTTCACACAAGTTGCCTGCAAAAGGGTGGGGCGGCGCTACTCCTGCCCCTCCTATCCAAGAAAAACGACAACAACAAAAAGGAAAAAAGCGGCAAAAAAAAAAGAAAAATTTCTTTGCACCTCTGGAAAACCCCCACTATTTTCCCTCACAGTGTCTGAGGGAACACAGTCGCAAAACTATAAAAAAAATATATATATAGATATATATCGTCGCTGCACACACGGGAAATACACCTCACCGAATACTCTCCATATTCTTCTTGACGACAAGCAAAACATGGGTCTTCCACTCATCCAGCATGCGGAGCTCGTCGAGAAGGGAGATGGCCGTTTCAAACTTCTCCAAATCGGCCCCCTCCACCGCTTCGGTGCACATCTGGAGAAATTCGGCCTCGCGAGTGTTCTTCAAATACTTGTCGCGTATCATGTACGTTTCCAACGCTTCCAACGCCTCGGCACTTTTTTCAATACGGTTATCATCTGTCACGGCAGCAAGGCGGCAGAGCATTGCGCGCACAAAGAACTCCTTTGCCTCATAGCGCAGCGGGCCATCGACACTCATGTTGCCCAGTCGCTCATAGAGTGACAAGGCCTTGTCAAAAATGTCATTTTCACCATATATTCTTGCTATGGCAGATGTGCACGCTTTTACTTGACTGTTCATATCATCCGCGCTGAAGTATTGTATGGCTTTCTCATAATGCGGAATTGCATCCAACGGCTGACCAGTTTCGCAGAGAGCCTCTGCAAATTCCTTTTCCAACCTCGCGGCACCATTTAACGTGTTGTTGTCAATCTGTAGATTGACGGCAACTTCCATCAATTTTGCGGCCATTTTCATGTCGGTTTTCTTGTACGCGTTCACGGCGTTAGTGTACGCTCGACTGGCGGAAAGCTTGTCCCTGCACTTTACCGCGCAGTCGCCGGCCCGCATGTACGCCTCCCCGGCACGGTTGTAGTCTTTCTCAGTCTTGAATCGGGCGGCTGCCGATTCAAACAGCTCCATCGCCCTTTCAGGATCCTTAAAAAAAAATTTGTTGATCTTACTTTCCGCCTCGCGGTAGAGGCTCTCTGCAGACATTTGTAAATACAACCTGGCACACCTTTCTTCTTCCTCCAAGATGCGTGTTTAAACGCAACGCGCATACGTGTTAAGCAGAATAAAATAAGTGAAGATTCAAAGCCAAGCACCGCAACAGAAAAAGCCATAAAAAAAAATAAAAATGAAGATGCAATTCCTCCTCGCCTCGTCTATTTATTAATTTATCTTTTTTTTTTCCTTTAATATTACTTTCGTCGTCTCTTTCTCTCTCTCTCTTGGGAGGACCTCAGCCAGCAAGCTTGGGACTTCCTTTTAGTGGTTATCACAGCACGAGTATTCATTTGCTCTTTAAAAAGGAAAACGGGACGCAGTGCGGGTGACGTGTCTCCAGCACAATAATATACCCCCACGTGATTGTAAAAAAAAAAAAAAAAAAAAAAAAAAAAAACTCAACAAAAGCATGTAAACATGGATACACAAAACAACACATGCTGTTCTGCGCGCACCATACGCAAACATCTCTCTTTTTTTTTTTATTTTTATTTTATATATATATATATATATATATCCCTTCTGGAGTTGTTCTCCGAGTATCCACAGACACGCACGTCCTTCTTCTCTGAATTCAAAAGAAAAAAAAAAACATGAAAGAGAAGCACGTACAAGTTTGCCAGATGACGCCATCAGTTCCACCAATATGCAGCAGAGTACAAGCGTTGCGCAAGTCTACTGCTGATGCGGCGGCATGTACGGGCCCATATGTTTTTGCGGTGGTGGATAGTATGCAGGTCTTCCCTGAAGCGAGAAACGTCCATATCCTTGCATCCCACCGTAAATAACCATACCCATATTCATGCCCGGATACCTGTTGTACATGCGTGGGTGGTATGGCATGGCATGCGGGCTCATGTTATACGGTAATGAGCTGTACGCACTGTGATAAGCTTGCCGCGTCATGCCTTGTTGCATGGAACGTTGTTGCTGTTGCGGTGTCTGATATTTATAAAAATAGTACTGGTTCTGTGCCTGATCCTGATGCTGATGCTGCTCGTGATGATGATGATAATAATAGTGATGATTTTGTTGTAGCGGGTGGGCATGGCCAGTGTTACCCATCTGTGGGGTTTCGTGGTATGCATTTCTTGAACCAAACGCCCGTGGCGGATATTTCTTCTCCGGGACGTTGGGCGTTAAAGGTTCTCTGGTCTCCCCCAACGCCATCGGGGCCTTCGTCACGACACCGACAAAGTTAAACTCCGACGACACCAGCTTCGCCAATTCATGGGGAAAAGAAATGGGACCAAGATGGACGGGTTCCGCCGCTTCGTGCAGCTGCGGCTTTTCGCAATCGCTGGAGGCTATCGGTTTTCTGTTCTCGTTAGGCACTACAACTTCCTGCACCGCAGGCGGCGTGGGGGGTGGAGCGTTTTTGTTCTTCTTTTGGCCGCTAGCGCTCACTGTGGCCGAGCCCGTGGGAACGGCAGGCAGTAAAGCGGTCCCAATACCGTTCGCAGCGGCCAGCTTTTGCTGCTTTAGCTTCTCTGCCAGACTTCCGGAGGCCCACGCGGACATCACCTTCTCTACCGCCACTATTCAGAGAAGTAAAACTAACACCAAAAATAAAGAACACTTCCGGGACAAAAATAAATAAATAAATAAATATTAGAAAAAGTCATGAAATTCCACAAACTCAACATCGCCGTGCGTGATGGCGGCGTCGCCTCGGCAAAACAACAACAAGAGAAAAAATAATAACAATAATAATAAAAGAACATTCATTCGAGTAAATATAAAGGAAAAAACAAAAAATTGGAGACGTCTTTACTCTCCACTTACCGACTCTTCTTGAAGACGAGCCAATACCGCCACCATCTCAACGTGTGGTGTGTGAGGAAAGAGGTCTACCGCAAAACTTGCCACCAATTCAAAGGGCAATCCTCGGTATGCTTTCGTGGTAGACTTCGTCAAAGATGGGCAGTCCCGCTCAAGTGCCTTCTGCTCACAAGAGATGTACACCACACGCCGGATGGTTGGGGTACCACGAATCCACTTCAACACCGTGGGCGTAACTCCGGCACGGGGGGGATCCAAAATTGCCACGATGTCGGTCTTATCCTCCTCTGGTAGAGAATTGATTATATCCGGCAAAAGGTGCTCCACACGACCACTGCAAAAAGTAACGTTGGCTATATCGTTGCGTTTGGCATTCTGCCTCGCGTCACTCACTGCAGACTCAACCAGTTCTATTCCAATTACCCGCTTCACGTGCTTGGCGAGTGTGAGGCCTATGACGCCTGTACCACAACAGAGGTCCAAAAGCGTTGTTTTTGGACCCAGCGCCGCAACCTTTGCCGTCTCGCATAGCAGTAGCTCCATTCCTGAGGTGTTTACCTGAAAAAAGGAAGTAGGGCTTAGTTCAAAGCGAAGACCTAAGAGATGCTCCGTGAGTGTCGGGGTCCCAAAAAGAATATGACGTGGCTCATCGACTGAAGAAGAACTGATTCCTGTGCCATGATGATACTGGGCACTCACAACGGATGCAGTTTCCTTCCCAGAGATCATCCTTAGTTTTGCCCGCAACCCTTCGCTAAATAGCGTTTTTATAAGGTGCGTCTTCACCTCACTCACTACGGATGCTTCAGCGCTGTCAATGTCCAGCTCCATATCCACCATAACTTCGCCAAGTACGTTGTGACGCACCTGCAGTTTGCGCCAGAACCCTTGCTGCTTCACCTTATCGAAAACCATCAGACCCCCCTTCTCGGGCAACAAAAATAAATGACAAACGGACATCACAGCCTCAGCCACCTGCCTCGCTAGTGGGTTCATTGTGACAATGTCTTTCCCAAGAGCCGAATGAATGGCGCAAGTTCCTTCAATCATAGCGCCCTTAAGAAACCCAATCGATGGCTCCCCGGTTTCCGAGTAGCCAAATGAAAGTTGAACGTGGTTGCGATAGCCAGTCAACTCCGGACTGACGTGTACACCGGCAAATAGTTCCGCATATTTATCCCCTTTTGGTGCAATGGCTTCCATCACCCGTAAACAATGCATCTTCTTTCGAGCAAGCTGCTCCTCCATGGCAAGGCCCTCCCATTGGGCAACTTTGCTCTGACCCAATACCTCCCCACCACGCGATCGCTTCCGGCTGCTGCCTTTGTGAGTCAGCTGCAGGTCTCGCTGTGTCACCGGTAGCTCCTGCCACTGTTTTCTCCCGCGGAAAAACACGCCTCGCAGGAGTTCGGCGGCTGCGGTACTGTCCTCGGGCGTCCGGAAGGCCATGAAAAGGAGCGGCGTATTCGGGTTTTTGCCCATGCGCAGCAATCCGTTAAAAAGCGGTTGGGGAGGTGCATTCGTCTTGGGTGGCGGCAAGCTCTTCATAATCATTTTCTTTATGGCCGAAATCGTTGAGTACTTGTCGTGCGTGTCGAACTTCAACAGGTTCTCGTTGCTGTGCTCGTGGAGAATGACGCGGTCGTCAGGAACCCCCGATGACTCTTCTTTACTCCCGCTGCTCTCATCTCCCATCCTTATTTAATGCTGTTGCTGCTGCTGCTGCCTCTGCTCCTCGTAGCTGCTGCAATGAAAAAATTAACGAGAGAAACAGCCAGTGAGATGCGCCACCACCACCACCAAGAAATAAAAAAAATAAATAAATAAATAAACAAAAATAAAAGAAAAAAAAATTAGGTCGCTCATTTGTATACGTCATGCAGGGAGCGAAAGAAAACAGCTAAAAATATACTCCGGCCGTCAACCTCGGCCAAACAAAGGCCCCTTTTTTTTCTTTTTTTTTTTATTTTGCTGCTGCGTTTGTCTGCCTTTAAGTGCGTTTTGCCGCTGCCTCCACCCGTCCCTCCACGACCGCCAGCAACGCGTGTGTGAGAAGGTCCTTTGACACCTCAAACTCATCACCTGGCACCGCAACAACAGCAATGTAGTGAAATTTGTGGTTCGAGTTGTAGAATGCCCGACAGAGTCCATGGGCCAAGGGCTCCCCAGCGGCGGGCGTAAAAGTTATCTCCGCCACGGCGCAGTTCAGTCGACTTGCCAGTGACTCGCTGATGCTACGCGCAGAAGAATCGGCACCCGCGGCAACGCCGCTGCGCCCGGAGGACTCCGAAACAACCTCCAGGGAGTTGGAGACGGACGCATTAAATCGCCGCAAAAACAGATGGAGAAGCTTTTCACTGTTCGGCTCCTTTACCT